ACGATTCGCAACATCGGTCGTAATTGCAATATAATAGATTCGGACAAAATTAATATAAACTGATCGAACCGGGTGATATGGAACTCTTAAAAAAGGGTCGCGTATCGGTCAATACGACACACCATGGTCGTATGTCCTCACATTTTCGAATGAGAGTTCAAGCCTCAGGGCATCTATATAAGTAAATTTGCCAAACAATTAAATCCTAGATGTTTTATGATATGCTTGGTTGAAGGGAATGATTGAGAAGGAATGGATGAAAGGAAGATTAGAAAAATATCTTCATGTTTGATTGGAGGGAAGGGAATAGAGCATCTCTTCTCCCTTTGCATTTTCTATGCCCAAAATTTAGAGAAAGAAGAGAGGAGAGAGGAAAGTATAACTACCAAAAATATATATATATCTAATTTACATTTTTGAATTAATTGAAACAGGAAGAGAATCTCTTCTTTTCCTTGCTGTCGGGGAGTTGGGCTTTTTAGAATTTTCATTCTTTAAGACGATGAACACGACTCAAAAACAATTATGAGTCATTGTTAGTCTCCAAAAATCAAAGGTCTCCGAAGACATTGTATGGAGTTAGAAAATTTGACTTCTTACCATTACCCCTAGGAATACACAAAAAATTGTCACAACCAATCAATCTGACAAGATCGAACCCAATTTTGGCCCTTCTACGATGGAACAGTTGGATTCCAGTTATAAAAATTAAAGGACCATATATTACAGTCTGATTCTCGATGTAGTGTCTGAAAAAACAGAACTGAATCCTTAGTAATATATATATATGTTTATATTTGTTCTATTTTGAAATCTTGCCACGATTCACTTTATTAGAGGACGGAAAAGAAGGTAAAAAAAATTTGAAAGTTTAAAATATAAAAAATAGTTATGATATTATAAAAATAAGAGGTGATGCATTAAATGAGATTAAAAAATTTCTTGTTATTTACTCTAAACAAAGAAAATGAGAGTGCAAATCACATCCTCCTTTTTTTTTAAAAAAATATATAGCTCATTTATTAACAAAAATAAAAGACAAGAAAAGAAAAAAGAAGTTAACCGAACCAATCCTTTATAATCCTACGATTTGGATCCATTAATTGAAATGGTTCAGTCTGATTCCAATATTTTTGATACGACCAGTTTGATTCCCATTCATCTCAAAATCGAATTAAACCTAACTATGCACCCATAATTACACAAAGCAATCAATCATCCAATAGACCCAGGGGCAACTGCCCCTCAAATTTTTATATTTTCTTTTTATATATATAAAATTCAGAATTCTAAAATTGCCACTTCAAAGTTTTTATTCTTTTCGTACGTTTTGTGTATATAGAATTTTAGAATTCTAAAACTGCCCCAGCTTCTAATCACTAGCTCTCTTTCTCTCTTTGGTCAATGGACACTCCATATCTCCATATCTCTAAGAAGGTTAAAAAAAATAACCATAAAAAAAGAGTACAATAAGTGGCATGGTCCACTTATTTTTTATTGTATATGATAGACGGAAATCATGAATATACACCAAATAAAAAATATGAAGACCTATATCCTAAAGCATGCAATTTACTTTTAACAAAAAATAAAAATAAAAATACAGGCATGCTTATTAGGTTTTTTAGTTTTTTATTTATTTATTGAACCTAATTAAAAATAGGGTATAGCACAAAAAATCGTCTAAATTATGTCCGAATTTGTAAATATATTTGTGCACAATACTCCTTTAATTATTACATTTTGTTACAAAATGCCTATACCTAGGCCATTTTTATTAAATGACCATAAGGCCCTTTTTATTGAGTTTTTGTATAGCAATAAATTAGGAAAAAAATTCATACTAATTTAATGACATATTCTCCATTAAATTTGCATATATTTAACTTTAATTCTTGAAATTGGTTGTTTAAATAAAAATATTAAGTAATTTTTTAAAAAACAATTTAAATAATTCCATAAATTTTCATGAATATATTACATGAAAAAGGTTTTTTTATAATAAGTTTTATTATAAATAGTAAAATTTTAATAATAAATTAATTATTTTAGAAAATGGCAATTACAACTCTATTTATTCCCCCCCCCCCCCCCCCCCCCCCTTCCCTCCTTTTATGACAAATTGATACTGATAAAAAATTAAGGTAAATACTATGATTAATATTAAAATAAGAGAATATATAATAAAAATAATTTAATAAAAAATAACAAATTTAATGAGAAGGATAAAATAGTCTTTTGTGATAAGTTTATCCTTAATTGCAACAAATCATTAGTTCAAGGGATAGTTTGTATAGTTCAGGAGTTACTTGCAAAAGAACAATAATTCGGGTTAAAAAAAATTTATCGTTAAAAATAGTTCATGTTTTCAATACAAAAGACAAATTTCATTCATTAATTTTTAGTTATTGCAGTTTGACTTATTAAAATATCATTAGTATTCATTGAAAGATGGATGAAGATCGATGCAGAGAACACCCAAATTTGAATATGTTTATTTTGTATAGTTGTGCTAGTTGTATTACATTCTTTTTCTTACGAAAATCTTGGTTGATATAAAAATTTATCCATAACAATTGTAAGACAAAATATTGTCAATCAATATTAAGTTTTCATATTTATCATTTTACTCAATATATATATATTCAATTTTTTATTCCTTTCGTCTCAAATTAAGCGACCTTTTTTAAAAATCCAACTCTTTAAAAGAATGATTTTTATTTTATTAATAGTGAATAAATTATCAAATTTGTGTTGAGTTTGTGTGTAATAGAATCGTTGTGGAATATAATATGGATAAATAACATAGAGAGATGGTGAATAAATATAAATAACCTAGACAGATGGTGAATAAATTTAACTTGCTTCTTTATCTAATTTTACTTATTTTAATTTTACCGAAATAAAACTAAAATCAAATTACAAAGCAAAAATAAAATGCAAGTAAAGTAAAGAAGGTTTGAGAGATGACACCAGGATTTTTAGTGCGAAAACCCCAATTAGTAAAGTAGACCAATTGTTGCGGAAAAAATCTCGTTGAACTGTGCAGTCCATAGAAAAACGATCTACTATGTTTGAAGCAAAGTACACCGAACTTTGACTCAGACTCACACCTTATCGTACTACCAAAAACCAATCGCTAACAATCCCTAGCTTTGCGACTTCCCCATCCAACAGCTCTCGACCTCACACTTACTCTTGATCTCTGTAGAAGAGTTGCAGGTATATCAAACAACACTACACGAATGCTTTGACCTCTTCAAAGTGTGATCGTTTCACCTCTTTTTTTCAAAATCTAAATTTGATGAAGAATGAATGAATTCTCCTTTTCGGAATATCTGAATATTCAATTATGCTACAATTCCGATGAAATAGAGAACAACACTACTAAATCACTCTTGTGTTTATGTGTGTGCTCTTAAAAATAAAATCAGAAAAATCATATTGATTTTTTGAATAAAAATATCTCTCAAATATGGCTTTCAATTAGATCTAAATTTTGTATGCAAAAGTCGTGAATAAACCTAGATGACTATTAGGGTTTATACAGAATTTAGAATGTCCTTATCCCTCTGAAAATATAGAAAATTTCGTACATAAGACTTGAAAAGAAGTTTAGTCCAAAAAAAAATAAAAACGGATAAGGAAATTGAAGTTTCTAAACATGCTTAGCAGTCTTATATCAGTATCGGATTTGACTACCGATTTAAGAAGGTCAGAAAGAATTTGGATGTATTTTTTGAACAATTGGCTGCCCGTACCAGATTTGGCTACCAGTTCTCAATAAACAGAAGTGAATCCTTCATTTGGCTATCCGTACCAAATTTGGCTACCCGTACCAAATTAACAGAATGTAAATTTCCTACCCGTACTAGATTTGGCTATCAGTACCAACTGGACAGAATATAAATTTCCTAAACACTTCAAACTTTTAAAACTTCCTAAGTGTTCTCACTCACTCACATACCTTTCTAAAGCATTATTCTCATCATTCCGGAATGTAGTAAATCATGAACACTTGAACTTCTTCAAATTCGCATCTGATCTTCAATCTTTAAATTTTGAACCGAAATTTTACAACTTGATCGGATTTGTTTTGACAACGAAATTAGCCAATATACAAAATATATATTTTTCACAATCTTCCAAAATTATATATCTCACAATTTGCTCTTAATGGGTCCACAATGATGTGATGGTTACTTTTTATTGGTTCAATGTAAGAAAGTTAAATTAGTAATATTATAAATAAATAAAAATAGTATATTGATTTTTGAAATGAGACACTTATTTTGAGACGGATAAAAATAAAAAAGATAGACATTTATTTTAGAACGGATGGATTAATTTTTTTAAAGAAATCCCAATATAAAGAGTCAAAGGATTTTTTTTTTTTTTTTTTTTTTTTTTTTTTTTTTTTGAATGGTAAGAGTCAAGGATTGATCCTATAATAAAACTGAAAAATTAAATAAACTACAATATAATCTTTGATTCAGCCTAGGGTTTTGGAAATAAAGCATATATAAAAGGGAGGAGAGGGGGAGTCAATGAGGATTTGGATGGGAAGGTCATGTGGAGGAAGACATAATAAAACCCAGGATGCCAGACAAAGTTGTTGAAAGATTAGAAGGGAATATTTGGGAGTATGAAAGGGAATTAGAAGGCAATGTGGGAATTTATTAGCCTTTACGCATGTTAACCATACGCAACCAAACAAACACCCCTTTGTACCTAGCTAGCTCTCTCTCACTCCACTCGGGTCAATGGATCTGTCTTTATTGTGTTGTACTGTACGTATATATAATATACATACTCTTTTTATATAATTACATTTTTATTTATTTATATAAAACTCAATATCTCACGAGAGTTTGAATTATAATAATATTATCCTTATGTGTTTAACACAGTAGTCCATGGTCTATGCTACAGTTCCTACCCATCCTAGCATGAAAATGGAATTTCACCATTAATTAAACTAAATACTATTAAACATGTTGAGAGAGAAAGAGGTAGACAAGCGAAGAGGGTGGGGGAAAAGGAATCACACATGAAGCCTCTCTCTCTCTAACATTTTTTTATCCCGTCGTCTCCGGGAAAGGAAATCAAAGTGACCATATAAATTTTCCTTTTCTTTGATGTGTGTATGTGCGTGTTTATATATATATATATATATATATTGTGAGTGTTTTGACTAGAGAGAAAGCAACCTTGTTCTAGTGTCATTTTCCGAGATATACTCTCGAGTAACACCACACCCAAATCCTTCTCTTTTCCATTCCTTTCTGCAATTCTCTCTCTCTCTAGATACAAGAGTCTTTATTTACTTCAATCATCATCGCTGTTTGAGTTCTTTCCTTTACTCGAAGCTTGACAAGTTAATGCAACCAAAGCGGCTATCAAATAAATCCCCAAGAAGATCAAAAACAAAGTTGTGTATCAGTCCCTTTTCTTTTCCTTTTCCTTTTCTTTTTACAGTTGTGTGTGTGACTGTGTGTTCTTTTTCTTTTGTGCTTTGAAAACCATTTCAGATTAACCTGAGAAAGTCCAAGAAAACCAATTAAAATGCCCTTGGAAGGGATTTTCAACGAACCCTCTTCAAACCCCCCACCTGATCTCTCTCTCCACATTAGTCCTCCCAACACATCATCTTCAACCAATGAAACCCGTAATAAGACCATTTCTATATCTATATCCCAAGCTCACACCGACCTCTCTTTAGCACATCCGGCGAATGCCATCCATGAAGACACTGGCCGGTGTAGAAGAAATTTCAGCGACCGAGGAGGAGCCGAAGAACCACCGCCGACACGAAACCCTTATCATCATCATCATCATCAAATCCACCATCCCAATAACCATTTAAACAACATAAACCATGGGGTGTCGCTGCTGGACGTATCGGACGGCTTGAGGCCGATAAAGGGTATTCCGGTGTATCACAACCGTTCATTTCCCTTCTTGCCCAATTTGGACCATACCAGAGAAAGAGACTCCAAGATGTCCCTCTACCATCAAATGTTTTCCCCTCAAGTTTGGTCTGCTTCTTCTCATCCCTCTATGTGTTCTTCTTCTCCTTCTGTTTCTCACTCTCCTTCTTCAACAACTTTCTTCGGAGCCAGTTTGGATCAAATGCCCATCTTGAACTCCGGTGGGCCTAATCCGTCTTTGTCGAGTTACCGGACTCCGGTATCCACAAGGTTTAACGGGCTCTCATCGTCCACCTATCAAATGCACCACCATCACCACAACCAGTATGGGGTTGGGCCTTCTGAGGCATCTCATGGGATGATGAGATCAAGATTCATGCCCAAACTCACCACCAAACGGAGCATGAGGGCGCCCAGAATGCGATGGACAAGCACCCTTCATGCTCGATTTGTTCATGCTGTTGAGCTTCTTGGTGGTCATGAAAGTATATATAGATTCATATATATATATTTTTGTTTTATTGAAATTTTTATTTTTATTATTTTGGGTGTGTTTTTGTTATTGATGTTTTTGTATGATTTTGGTTACAGGGGCTACTCCAAAGTCAGTTCTTGAGCTCATGGATGTGAAAGATCTCACACTAGCTCATGTCAAGAGCCATTTACAGGTACTACAAAAAAGAAAGAAAAGCTGATTTTCATCCTCTCTCTATCTCTCTTTCTGGTCATGTTTGGGAAGGTCTTGGTCTATCCTTTCGGCACGGTAGCCGATGAATGCAGTGAATGAATGAATGAATTTAAGGGAAGAGAAGAGGGAAGTCTGATGCTCTGAGAGAGAGAGAGAGAGAGAGAAAATGAGAGAGAGAGAGAGAGAGCCAAACAGAATGATACAGACAAAAGTAAGTCATCATTTTTCAATAATAATACAGCTCATTACTATTGTAACAAACATCAACCTCGTGATTAATGATGAAATCGAGACAAGACCCAGAAAAGCCCAGAAGGTGATGATCGATCATCGATCACAGTTTTAGAGAGAGATATAGAGAGAGATCTGAAATAGTAATGGGTACTGTTTTGTTTTTTCTTTTTATTGGTTTCTCTATTATATATATATTTCTTCTAATTCTATTTAATTGTCCTTGCAAATGCCTTCCCAATGACTCTGCAGATGTATCGAACTGTTAAAACCACTGACAAACCTGCAGCTTCCTCAGGTATGTAATTCGTATAGATTTGACTTTGCTTTCAGCTTTTCTTTCGTTTTTATCGATCTTTTTTCCTAGCAACCTTAGTTTAAATTGTTTTATTAATTAAACTCACTAAGCATTTCATAATTTTGTACAATATAAATTAAAACCCATTTGGATTTGGAAAAACAACTCTTTAACTCTCTCTTCTATCCCATTCTACAATTTAATCCCTATTGATTTTGTTAACATCATACATATATATATATATATACACACACACACACACAGACATGCATTGCATAGAAATTAATCGATGGACATTTTTTTGATTGTTCTTGAAGGCCATTCAGATGGGTCAGGAGAGGAAGAAATCTCCCCAGTAGCCGGTGCAACGGATCGAGCCGGCTTCCATCGATTTATTGATCAAAGTGGGCCGTCTGATGGATCTTCACAGCAAGAAACAGACTACCTGTGGAGTAACTCTTCAAGGTGTGTGTAATGTGTATATATATTTCTCTCTCTCTCACACACACACACACATATATATATATATTTTGCAAGCTTATAAGTTAAATGAGCATCTATATACACTTGAAGCTGATGAATACAGTAGTGGTAGTACATTGATTTCCTTTATCTTTTGCATGGTACTATAACTTAGAAATGCAAACCCACGTCCACCATTTTTGAAGAATAAAAGTGTTGTTCTGGCAGCTTTTGCTTTTGTTGTGTTGTGTTCGTTTGCTCCTTCCTTTTTTAATCTTTTTGTTTTGGAAGATTTTGCAAGTGTGTGATGAGATTGGGGTTATAATTAGATAAAGCTACAAACATTATCAAATGCTAAATAGGATCTTAGAAAGCAACCATCGCTCCACTTTTTCAACATCGTTTCTGTTGAAACTATGTACGTACCATTTCTTATTAGTATTAGTTAGTACTATACATTAGTAGTATCAATTATTAAACTCTTCTTTCTTTTCTCTTCACGAGGACATTGCATATATAGCCAAAAAGACCAGTACTGCCTTGACTGAAGTGTCTCCTTTTCAAACATATAATGTTTCACTGTATCTATATACACACACATGGATTTGGATCCTATTAAATAATTAACCCCTCCAAGCTATCATCTACTTAAAACACAATAAGGACGGTCCTTTGTTGTTGTGTTTATGTAAAAGATTAGTGTCACGGGATCTTATCCTATGTCAGGCTTATGAGGATGGGAGCAACACCACCTAAGACGGATTAAGCTTTTGAGTTGGGAGGCAAATATATTCGTCAAACTTTAGAAGTACCACGCAATTCAGTATTTGTCATTGCAATTATATTTTCCAAAAATTTGTATGTTCCTGAACAAATTCAAATAAGTTGAAGGCTTTTTGTTAGACGTAAATAATTCAATACATGTCTCTCAATTGCAACACTTGCACAATAGGTATATTAAAGAAGTTATTGTCTTATACAAAATTTATGTTATATATATATATATATATTGAAAGGTTAAGCGAATGTATGTTGTATTGCCTGCAAATAAGTTGAGCCCCATTGTTAGACATTAATGATTCAATACATGATTCTCAAATGCAACAATTGCACAATAGATATATTAAAGAAGTTTATACAAACTTTATATCATATATATAATGAACAGTTAAGCAAATGTATGTTGTATTGACTGTTATTGATCATAGAGACAATTCTAATTCATAGCAAACTAATTATTTTTTTCACGGCATATGGTACAAGTGTTGGTGACTTTGAATCAGGTGTAAATATATAGATTGATTTGCAATTGTTAGTGATGAACCTTCTTTTAATCATTTGATCTTTCTTTTTTCTCCGGGTAAATTAATCATTTGATCTTGTGAAGCTCAATTCATGGATAATTGATGGCTGCCTCTGCTTTGCCTTTTTAGTTCAGAAATTTATCATCCTTTAGCTTGAATATGTTCTTCCTAATTCCAATTTTTATTTCCTTCTTTATAATGGTTTGATCTAGCCTTTAACTACTACTTAAAAAGATGAAAGAAAATGAAAGAGAAAAACAGAAGAGAATTTTCTATTATACCAAGTGTTGGTATGGCATCTTAAACTGAAAGTGAACAAGGGATTAGGTGTTTGATTCATAGAAAAATAATAATACTATCAATTAGAATTGCAATATTGATAGGTCTTCCAAGTTAGTTGATATTATTTCAATAAAGTCATTCATAATGAATTAACTAAGACCATTTTTAAAATACAATGTGATGGCATAAATGTAGAATATTAAATCATCATTTTTCGTTCTTCTTTTATATCTTAATTTTCTGTGTGTGTGCATGCATGCGCGTGTTTGTTTGTGCCTGTCATGTATTAACTAAAAGGAACAAAAATCAACTAGGAGTATGCAGATTCATATTAGGGTTTTTCCATGCAGGTAGACATTGTCGATTCATTACTGATTATGAAAATGTAATTGATCCAAAAAAAAAAAAAAAAGGCTACCCTAAACTTGTATTACTTTAAAAGTATTCCTCAAATTAATGCAGTTTTTTTTTTAACTTATTATCTCGTTTGAGTTAATAAATGTTAATCAATCCATGACCATAGACGAAAATATATCATACATTACTTTTGCGATCAAAGTAATAAGGAAAAGCCATAATAATTATCTTTAGATGTAATACACCAATGTTAGATGATGATTTTAACTTTTCCCAGTGTTAAAAAATGACCATGTTTGATAATGAATGTGAATTATTGCAGAATTAAACCTAGCTCCTAGATTCTTCATAAATTTTTTACCTTCTGACTAATGCTTGAAGACTGGTTTTATTTGTTATTTCAGTAAGGTTTGACATTTATTTCATTGAAAAAAAAAAAAAAAAGAACATGACATAATTAATCAAAAGAAAGTCCAATCTCACTAAATTGATAGAAATGTGAAAATACTAACAAAAAGAGTATTAATATATAGACAAAACTAGTGATACATAAGTGCATCGTCTGTAGTTGCACTGAGATACATTTGTGGACTTTAAAAATAAGATCATATGCATGGAGGTGCAAGTAGATATGAGAATAATATCACAAGAACAAATAAATCTAAAGAACAAATAATCTAACTTAAAGCATTATCTAATATCTCAATTAATCACAAACAAAAAATTGCAAGCAAGCATATATATATATGCAGTATGAAATGAGATTTGCAGGCTATTGTTGTTGTGCTTCATCCTCTGAGATTACTATATATATATATAAATTTTTAAGGACTTGTATTGAATCTTGCTAGTTAAGTTCTATTGCCGTATGATTAATTAGTGATCATTGCCATAATAATTGAGGACTAACTGGTTTTATTTATTTTTTAATTTTAAATTTTCAGCAGTAATAGAGAGGCTTGGCTGCAGACTAACTCAACTGACATGGATGGGCTCAGGCCATCAGCCCTCCCATTGCAACAAAGATCCAGACACCAAGTAGAGGTATTGATTTAAAATCACTATGTCCTACATATATATATATATATATATATATATATATATATAATAATTTGAATAAATTAAATAAACCAAAACTCTTAATAAATAAAATAGTTTCCATTGCATGGAGGCACATATGTTTTCCTTTTTTACTGCATGGCTTTCAAAAATATGGAGTAGTTTGAAATTGGACCAAAACACTTTTGGCTGAAAGATAACTACATATCCAATGCATTATTAATGTAGGAATGCGATTTGAATCGGTTGAAGAGCTATTTAGGTTCTGATTTGGAACGAAAGAATCCAAGTTTGGAGTTCACGCTGGGCAGACCGGACTGGCATGACAAAGAGCATGACTGATTATATATATATATATATATATAGCTATATATGTATAAACTCGATCTGGTTCTCTTCATTTTTGATTTTGCTGTTGGTTCATTACATTCCTTCATGCAAGAAGAGATTGAAAGGCATAACTACTATATATATGAAGAAGCTAGCATTGGAGAGGAGGAGGAAGAAGAAGAAGAAAAAAAACAAGAAAAGCTATTCTTCTTCTAAATCATTGCAGGTGCTGCTGCTGTGGAAAGTTATAAAAGATGTTTCACGGTTGTACGTTGCCATCTCAAAAGCCACCCAATATTTTGCTTTGATTGTAGGGTCGGTCCATGACGACACAAAAAAAAAAAAAAAAAAAAATTGTCGTAGTTTTTTCCCATAAAGTTTGAGGATCTAATACTACCTGTTCATTATGTATGATGATTAATGTGCATCCCAAAAAAAAAAAAAAGGATTTGTAGCCCCAGGAGCATAGCAGCGTTGGCAGGGATCCAGAAAGTAAATTTTTGAAGTCTCGTTTTCGAACCGCACCCCTGACTTGAATGGTGAGTGTGTTATGGAACCGATACACGTACTCAGAGAAAAATAAAAAAATTGGATTTACATTTCCACGGGCATAGTGTTTCATATTCACCAATAAACCATTAATATTTTCTTCTCCATTTTTTTATTATTTTTCATAATTGGTATTCACACATGCACATCTCTACTGAAACTTAAACTTTTGACCTTCCTTTAAAAAGTAAAAAGTAAGAGCTTAATGCCGCTAGGCCACCTTTTCCGTTTTAATTTAGACTTGTTAGGCTATCTACAGAGGAGCCAAAATAACTCGTATTTCTTGGTATTTTAAGCCGATTCTGGTTTTGTGTGTGTGCCTGTTTGTTTGTCTGTGGGGGCCGCAAGCGTCTTGTTTGTGTCCCCAATTTATATATATATATATATATTCATGATATAAACATTGGTTTGCTTTTTTTGTCGGCCACGTTCTTCAATCACTGATTTTCAAGATAATAGGGAATAAGAAACATAAGATTGCAGAAGCTTCTTCCAGCCCGATGTGTGTTTGCATTTGTGTTTTTAACTAGCAAGAACAAAGAAATATCAGAGGATATCTTCCATATAAAACTACAGATGAAAGATTCAAAATCAAAATCACATTAGCGGTACCAGACTCAACCACAAACTTGTTAATATAGATATTAAACAATATCATAGTAGCAACATTATCTCCATGGTTGCTAATCTCAAGAAGATGAGTCAACAGCATAAACAATATCATAGTAGCAACTTTATCTCCATCGTAGATGATCTCAAGAAGATCAGGCAACTGCATAAAACATGAATGAACATATCTAATAATGCAAACCATAATTTTACACACACGCCACACTTTCTTTTGACAGCTACACTTCAATCTGACACTTTAGGATCATGATGTCGTCGAGCATGCCGAGCAGAAGAGTAAGATGAAAGTGCTAAACCAGTCGCGCTCACTGAGTGCACAGCAAGCCCCACACTCTTCTTCGACGCCAACCACACAGTCCAAAAGAATCCAATCCAACCTGATCCAAAACAAAAAAAAAATTGAAGTGCCAAGACAGGAATTAGATAAATCTTAGCAACATTAGAAAACAAATTTCATTTATGACATGTCAAATATCAAACTGACCTATCATATTCATGTGGGACAAGGAATGAGACAAGTGATAGTATGTTCAAATATGTATCATTGGGGCACTAAACACACACATAGAAACCTCCCTAGTGTGATAACATGGAGAAAAAAAACTCAACCAGGGAACTCAACTCATCACTTAATATTTTACCCTGAATAGTCTCATTTTGAGGACCTAGAATAAGAGAGTCAACTAAGGCAGTAGAGGAAGAAGCACAAGAACCAGACAAATAACTCTACCTGTAGCTATCATAACAGCTATGATTGCTGAAATTGTTGCTGTGGAGATAACAAATATAGCCACCGATAAAGCCCCAATGTAAATGGCTGTCACACAGGCAAAGAAAAGAGCCAAGAACCCTCCTGCCGCAGCTAGAGACACGAGAAGAGAGATTACAATGGCATTGATCGTTGCTGCAAGAAAGAAAAGCATGAAGACTGCTAATCCTGTCAAAGTAAGAAGAGTGATAGTCCCCACCTGCATCAATATCAGAAAGGAATCAAAGAGAGATAAAAATAAAAAATAGAAGGTTCATTTACATCATGAGAACCACTCAAGATAAAAGTGCACCAAGACGTAACAACCTTTTAATCGTTTTGGGTAGAGAATTCAATTCAATCAAATTAATAATGAAGTAGAAGCAGGCACATCGAATACCTAAATTATCTTTAGCATTAGAATATTCCAGCACTATGTTCAGTTGAAAATATGAGGAATGACGAGATAAAAACATAGTAATAGAGAATAAACAGAGCATATAGCCACAACGTTAGTAACCATAAGCTATTGTGTGGCGAACAATGTAAGCAACAAATGAGGAATACTAGTCATTTTCATAGCATTAAATGGAATCAAGATGGAAACAGTTTTCACACCATAAAGATTACAGACTGACAATAAAACACATCACAAAAAAATGTGCGACACAAATAGCATCAGCAAATAATCCCAAACCAGGGACAGGATGAAAAGAGTGCAACAAGTTTTCAGTTTCAGTCAACCCTCGAGCAGCAGGAAGAAGATCTCAATATCAAATTTGGATAAAAAAAGGAAAACATACAGTGTAGAAGGGGAATGGAAGGAAGAGGAAGAAAAGAGAAGAGAAAGAAAGAAGAGGGAATTATGTTGTGAAATCCCTTAATTGAATAGAAAATTCGGGAAGTTTTCAGACTTCTTTGGAATTTATTCTCCATAGCATTTTATAAAATAATAAAATTTGTTACACCGAAAAGCAAGTTTGAGCTCTCATCTTCCACTTACCAATAGTATGTAGTTCAAGTAGTTAAATGATGAAACTACACAGTAAACATTATATTGATCTACTGCACAGCTTCTAAACCACCCATGCAAAGAAATCTATGGGACTCTGCTGTCCTTGCTTGATTTTGCTGAGATTCTGAAGATGTCATCTCCAAATTTACAAGGAAAAGCCATTCCATCCTTGAGTTCGTGATAGTTTTTGATCCATGCACAACAAAAATCATCTCAGTAGGCATTGGATCTGGTTTGGATGCTGTTCTCGAACAAAACAATTCTGAATGGTGTAGGAAACAATTTTTAGATTTGCTTCAAGACTTTAAACTTGTCTTGGTGTGCTGCTTTTGATGTAGGAGAGAAATAAAGAAGTAGAAAGGAGAAAAAGGAGAACGGGGGAAAAGCATTAGGAACATAAAGAGGAAGAAAGTAGAGGAAGAAAATGGATTTGATAATAATTTATTAGAAGAGGAAAGGAAGGAAGAGCGAGAAGAGAATAGAAAGAAAAAGGGAGTGAAAAGAAAGAAGAGAAGTTACAGAAAAGGGGAGTGAAGAAGAGAGAGAGAGAGAGAGAGAGTAAAGAGGAAGTAAATCTATAACTTTTTTTAATTCTTCAGCAAGATAATTATTTTTTTCCACTACACGAAGGCCTTTTATAGGCAAACCAAAAGACATAAATACTAGGATAAATACAAAACTAATAATAGAGAACCAAAAGAAAAAAATATATAAGATAATAGAAATGCACCAGAGTTTCTTATAAGCATCACATCTAGGGCTAAAGTTGCATTATACAATCTTAAAATGCTTACAAAATAAAAAGTTATTCAACTAGCCTTTACATCTGAAAGCACCTCTCTACAGCGCCAAGGGCATAGCCCAAGGGTATTTCTTCCTCCTCCCACATGGGAGGTTGAGGACTCAAATCGCCATAGGGAAGATAGTGAGTATGTGAGGATGCTGGGTGTGTGTCTTATCAACAAAAAATAAACAAACTATGCACTTTATGTACCTAATGATTCACAATTTCTTTTTAACTAAATGTGGAACACCATCATAGTAAAATCTCCACAACTATCAAATCAATGAATTTCTATTCATGTTTATAACCAAGTAAGCATGCATCTTTTAAAAGGCCCAAGGGCTCGCTAAAATTGTAAAAAGGTGGGAAAAAGTTGGGTGAGTCTTATGTTTGAATTTTTCCTAGAAGTGTATATGCATATGCAAATGTATATGGATATATGAGAGATCTAGAAGACAGTAAACCTCATCTTTGGACTTCATACGGCAAAGTCATATAACAACTTGTAAACAATATCCAACAAGTGCTATAAATGTGTTTTTTTTTGACAGTAATATGAACTATGAAAGGGGGATGCACTTTTAATAGTTCAGTTGGCTAAATGGACCTTTTACAGTCTTCTCAAGGTAGAATGAAAATTGGCCAACTAAAATCAAGTTGAAAGAAATAGAAGAAGCTTTTACAGTATGCTTTTCTAGATTTGCAAAAGATAAAAGGAAGAAGTTAAAGATAATTGCAAACAAAAAGGAACAAGAAATATCTTCACAGCGAATTCACATTAACTTGATATGTGAAAAAATAACTCAGGACAAGGGTCATCTAACAATGCCCATGCTCACCAAGAATCTGTTTCTGCTACAGCATTCAATTTCATAAGCATTCCAAACAAAATCTTTCCACGTCCTCGTGTATGGTAGAGATCTTTACTTCAGACATATGGAAATAAATATCATCGATCTCTCAGTATTAATACATTTTCATTATCAGAATATGGCAGAGATAAGATGGAAAGTATAATTACCTGTGCTATCATCAGGTATCGTGTGTACACTATAATCTTTTATAGTTTCCATGCCATATCACATTCATATGCAAAAAAAAAAGGGGAGATAACAGAAATCAACCAACCAACCCACCACCTCCACCCCCCCCCCCCCCCCCCCCCCCCCCCCCCTTCTCTCTCCCTCTCTCTCTCTCTCCCTCCTCCTCCTCTATCTTATTTGTAGCACCCATAATCTGACAGCAATGGTAGAAGCATAAAGACCATAAGTGGGGGGGGGGGGGGGGCGCCATAACATGAGGATATTACTTTCACACTTCTCTCTCTCTAGATATCTATAGAATAGAGAGAAGGATCTGCTGCATGAACAACTCAAGTCTGCATTACATGGGCTCTACAGGCCACACTGAGTCTTTCTTCCAAACGAGCCCATTTATCTTTCGATTTGGAAGATCTGAAGGTGAGCGAGATTGGCACAGCAGCAACTCTTTTGTTGAATGAGCAGGCTGGTGAAAATACAGACGGCGACTCAAATAATTCAAGTGGGAGTTCAGTGATGGTATTGGGTCAGCTACCTTGCACAGAGTATGTGTCAAATTTGGTACAGGTCTGGTTGCATATTCATCTACTCCCAAAATCTTTAATTATGGGGATAGAGCTGTATCATCGAAGTGTCCAATTTTCCCAATCTCTAACATAACTAGTTAGATATGGCTACATGTATCTGCATGATAGGGGAACATCTTAGGCTCATAATCCACACACATATCCATGCCAAGTCAAATCTGACATGAGTATTTCACTCATTTCGAAGAATCATATTACATAGCAGGTAAGGTGATCAAGAAGAAATTGCTCTCTAATCCCCCAGTAAACCGACAATTCGCTCAAGTTGGTGAGTGGTTTTTTTGAACAAAATCAAAGCTTTACTTAGGTGAGTATTATAGAGCCTACTTATGATAACAGCAAGAGGGTTTAACAGATTTTGGAAGTCTCAAAGATGTATCATCCAGCATTTAGCTGCAATTAGGACAGATGCGAGACAGGGACTGAGAACTGAGAAGGTTGATATTCTTTTTCCGGTAAATGAGAGGGGTTTAATGTTGCCACATCATAAAATTTAGTCTTTTTTTCCCCTATAGGTATAAGTTACACAAGCACCCATTTGTCCAATTGGGGACTTCACCATAACCTTGAAATAAAAATTTCACTATAATGCATTACCGAGAAAGCTTCAGAAACAAAATCAAACCCATGAACTAAAATTTCAAGAAAAGCCTCATATTCTGATTCCTCGCCAGACTTTCACGGCATAATCAATTCAAACCAAAACTCAAAAGAAAGAAAGAAAACCCACATGAAAACAAAACTCATGATCAAACAATTTAACGTAAATTCAAATAAAATTTCACATACTGTATGTATAAATACACACAGTTTAATTGCAGAATACTCACAGATATAACAAGGAGGGCACGGAGAGAACTGCCACGGCGAGTCCAGAGGAGAACGTCACGACCCGTGTTTCTCGAAGCTTCGCCAAGGAGAGGTACGTTCTTGCAGAAAGAGGATTTGATCCGGTGAAACACATGACTTGGTGAATTGGGATCGGAAAAGAGAATCTCAGACATCAGATTGTGGAGAACGGACGAGAGAGTGGGTAATTCTTGGTGGGCCCCCCTGAAAGTGTAGGATTCGTCGTCGTTGCCAGTCACCTCCACAAAAACGCCATTGGGCTTCTCAGTGGCATCGCTGAGTTCTGCCATTTTTCCCTCTGTAAATATCTCCTCAGTTTGGGACGAAGATAGTTCTCCACTACTTTAATGATGTGATTTAGTTTTTCTTTGATTCGTGGATGATGATCTTTGCACATGTGCAGCCACGTGGATCATCTTGGTGCATCACATCCCTTCATTTTTTATTACTATTTTTTTTTTTAAATTCCTTTTTCTATTTGAGCTATGTATTATTTTTAACTTGTCAAAACGGTTGTCTTGTCCATTATCGTTCGATTATCTTATCTTCTGCCACAGAAATTGAAGATGACACGTGTACCAATCACTGCCGTTAACCTTGAATTATAGTCCTACTTAACCGTCTAAATTTTGATCAATTTTTATCATCAATTCCACTACATCGCCACTGCCCGTTACTTTCAGTCATCATCAATCTTGAACTTCAATTAATACTATGATTGCTATCCACCTAAAAGTCCTTTTTCTCTTCTTCTTCATTCTTTCTTCTTTTCTTTTTTTTCTTTTTTGTTTTTTTCAGTCTAACTTTTTAAAATCATTTATAAACACAAGTCATCATAATTTTCCATTTTAAATATTGTTGGAATGAATAAAATCATATTATGGTAATTGTTACAGGGCTGTCAAGGGGCTAACAGTAATCCATATGAGAAAAAAATAAAAATAAAAAGAATATTACAGTAATTTTTTTTCGACAATTAATATAATATTGCTTATGAAAATATATATATATAATATTAATTTTTCTTCATGTCTAAAATAAAAGGTGGTGATATCTCTTCCTTAATCTGAAAAAATAATAATAATAATAATGAAAAAAGAAAAAAAGAGGTGCCTCATATCTTCGAAATACTTAGTACAAATAAGTCACACAATCTTTCTCAACAGGAACCGTTCTTACTCTCCGAACGCACTTCCGTTCTTACTCTGTGTGACTTAAATTTTATTGTTTTCACATTCCCGCTTTTGAATTCACTCTCGCTCCTCTTCCTGCTCTATGTGACTTTGGGTACAAATACTCCACGTTGTCCACATTCTCAAATCCAGGATCTAGTCTTTAAAATGAATTCCATGCAAAAACTTGAGCAATAAAACTATAATGCAAAACTTAAAACAACTGAAACAGCTCCAACAAGTAATTCTCCTCTTTCACAGGATATGTGAAAACCCCAAACCATCAGAGGCTTTGATGTCACATTTCAGACAGTTTCCTTTATTCACAATTAGTTCAAAAGGCAATATAAATCCTATGAAGAGAGCAGATGTTCTACGACACAGACAAAATAAAGTTGCATATAATAGTTTCAACACTATAAAACCATTAAAAGATGGTTGCACAACATTAAAGAATTTGAATAAAATAAAATATAAAAAACCCTAAAACGACACATTTCAAGTATAACATTGGATTGACGAATTGAAGGCAGAAGAGAACTTCTGGCCTTTGTTGAATACTCAGGACACACTAGAAGAAATAGGACCTGGGAGACTTGAGTGTACATGTCCAGCAGTATGGTCAAGGCATCTAAGTGATGCCAGGGTTAATTTTCCCATGTGACAGACTTCCTGGGAATTGCTGAACTGCCAAAATAACTTCTTAACCAGCATCATATTTTTACCTTTCTCATATCTTGACAAATAAAAACTTATCATATAGTAAAATGAGAAAGTACAAGGAATATGCGGTAAAAGATGAGAAATACTCCACATTGGAAGAACAACGAGCAAACCAAATATCCTGGGTCTTCTCTTGTCCCTGCACTCAGGCTAAACAATATAATTACTAAATAAGAGTGGTCACCCTATCTTGCACATCTTCAATCATAATAAATGCATAAATTCCAAATAATCTCCATTCGTGTCTGGCGTCCCAATAAAACGAGAGACACCTGCTTCATTTGAATTTGAATTTGAATTTCTTTTTAGACAGTCCCAATCAAAACTCTGTTTTTGAACTAAAATGTTCCATCAAGTATTAAAGCATCCATACAAGAACATTAAAAATAAAATAGAATTTGCCAGTGAGACCCTAAAGTCTAAATTTTGTTGGTCCACCTCCAAAATTTACAGGATATACAACCATTCTGCCTAGCAATTTGGCTCAAAGGGTACTTGCCAGTGATTTTTTAGATCCCCTGTTATTTCTCCCCAACTGTGCACCATGCAGATATGGTTGTAGCAAACAACAACTTAACACATCATAGCCTCAAAAGTCAAACCCCAAAACTTTTTATTCCACTCAACTCTAAGTAAGTTATGTTCACAAGAAATTAAATCATTTCCCACCACCCTCATTCACTCCCTTTGGTTTTCAACTCTATCTATACTCGGGAGGTCATATTCTATTTGACTAATCCAATCCAGTGAAACATATCTCCAGGCATGTTTGCAATGCTTTTGGTACTCCTCCAATCCAAGCAACTTTTTCCTCACCTATAATCCTCTGATAATCAGTTATTTCATATCTGACTTCATGAATTCTCCACATCAGTCCACCCCCGTTAATCCTCCCATATGTTAATTATAATTTCAATATTAAATAAATTGTGATGCAGAACTTTAAGACTGGAATGCATATAATGTTTCAATGGCTTCTCACCCATAATTATTGGAGCATTTGCTGATACTCATTGCTCACAACAAAAATATCTCAGAACATGTCAAAGAATAATCAAAATAAATAAATAAATAAGTAGAAACCCTCACTTAAAGCTTTTCCTACTCACTCCTGCATTCGCTATAAGAAAAGGAATAAGTATCAAGCAAAATGGTGAGGATTACAAGCCCTTCTGACTATCCAAAAGGCATTCCTTGTTTGGGTCAGGAACTCCTTAGAAACTACCAAAGGAAAAAATAGAATTTGTCCTACTTTACCTCTTATAAAAATTTATCCTATGAATTAACTGAATGAGAATTTGACGGCAAGTCTATTTGATTAACACCACCTGAAGTGTCTACTGCTTGCCTTTATTTTGGAATGCTACGCATCAACCAACCCTCATTATCACATCAAACAGAAAATAAAGAGAGTTAGTTTATGCATTTTTGGACCTCTCTACAAAGCAGCAGTTTTCTTGTAAAAAAATGGTGTTATCTTTGAACTGTAGATTCATAAAAAGGCGTCAGCATCTACTTCATAGCATACTGACCATTATACAAAATGACTAGTGTACTAGGAATTCATGGTACAGAAAGAATGTCATCAGATCATTAACTATTGATTTATTTATTAAATTATGAAGCCTTGATGAGAGTCCAACAAAATTGTTCCACAAACATTCAAACAGATCAGTGTTTGACACACGCCAAGAGTTTAATAAGCTAGTAATATAGTAGCAAGATTGTTATAGCTTAGGGGGAACAAACAAACAAAGTAGCCATGCTTTTTATAACCACCTTACAGATAAACGAACTAATAGCGTCATCAAATTGCAATCAATGAATTCACCGACTGTTACCAGCTTATCCCATATGCCACTTCAATAACAATATATGGTTTTTGCATCAAAGACCAACTGCACACAAATTAGCTCAAAAGACCAAAGGCAATATAAATCCTATGAAGAAAGCACACAAATTGCATTAAAAAAAGTTGGAAATAATTGATTAAACTTTTTTTCTCCATCCAAAACACATAATGAGGTGAACAAAAGCTACTGAATCTGAAATTCATTTCTCACAAACATTACTACAAACACTTGGCACAAAAATATATATACCTCCAAAACTACAACACGAAACCCTTGAGATAATCAGGGTCACGCTTGGCACGGTCCTGGAACTTTTTGAACCATCTATCCAGTATATCCATTGGCACAATAAGCTTGCTACCATCAACACCACAAAACGACTGCATGAAATTGAACAAATTCTCCCCAACCTTCATCGCCAATCGCTCAATCCGCTTCTCCGCCACCACATCAAGAGAGGGCAACGAAGCAAGGTCCTCGACGGAGACACCGATCTTGGCGGAGAGCGGGGCGGCATCGGGGGCCATGAGCTGCAACTGGCCTCCCGGCTCCGGCCACGGCAAAGACAGCACCGCGGAGGGGCGGGCCAAGGTGACGGCGCCGCAGAAGAGGAAAGGGGAACCGGGGGACTGGATGTAGACGGCTAGGGCTTTGTCGGGTGGGAGAGAGAAGCTGTTGAGGAGGAATATGCAAACTTCAGTGATCGAATCGTACGCCTCCCCTACGCAAAATAGAAGCAGGCGGTGATTGATTGTTAGGGGCCTGAGGCATGTTAAGAGTAGATAGAGAGAGAAAGTAGATCGTGTGCGTATGTAGAGAGAGAGCTTACCAACGAAGGTGTTCATGTCGAGGACCCAATGGAAGGTGTCGATTTGATTGAAGGTGGAGATGTCGATTGGGAAGCTCCGGTTCGGAAACACCACTCCAAACATTGTTCAATTTTGCTTTGTTTTATGCGTGCGTGAAGTATGTATGAATAGAAAGATGCGAGCTTGTGTTCTTCAGAGATGAAGATGGTGATGTAGGTCAAAGTAGAGTGAGAAAGTTCGAACCAGAGAGTCGAGACAGATGCTTATATAGGAGATGAAGGGAGTGAGGAGGACCATGGAAAGAGTCCAGCAATTTCCAGAAAAGTCCAGATTTATTGGTCGGTCGGGTCGGATACCCGATACGTGGAACAATAAAAACAATTTTTCTTTATCTCGTGGAGACTGAATCCTAATAAAAAAATTGTTAAAGCAATTACGCATATACTTTAGCTTCACCGAGTTTTGAACTCTCGACTTCTTTTTTGGGAGGAAGTGATGAAATAGTTAGGCCATTTGGTTCTTCCGTGAGAAGGGAAGATGAGGGAATTTGTTTTTTATAAGGGAAGTAATATTAAAATTTTATATTTATATAATAAAAAGAAAAATTATTAGTTAATGAGGATATTTGTCCATACTAGATTGGATATTTGTAACGAGGTGATCAACAAAACAACTAAAAATTAATATGGCAGTTTAAATTATAATCAACCAAATAGAGGAGGATCCTTACATTTACTCAAAAAATAATAATAATAATAATAATAAATAAATAAAATACAAGTGATTTAAAAAGTATATAAAACTTATTATATTACTATTTTGAGGATTTAACACCTGTTTACTTTAAGAATGAGATATTGTACTTTTAAATCAAGAATGTAATTGAAGAAAGAATTTTATCTCTCTATTTGGACAGAATCTCATTACATTTTCAATTAAAAAAAATAATTCTCCCCTCTTCTACTCTCTTCACTGCCTTTTTATAGGTAATTACAAGTGCTGCTAGACTATCAGTTTTGGGCCTTCTTTCCAATGGGCTTGGCCTTCTTTAATGGAACTAAGTTTTAAATTTAACATCAATTGGATTTTATGAAACAACCCAAAACTAAGCATGTATATATACATATTGTAATTCTATCTTGATGCTTGCACTATTACTGCTAGTATCAACTGTTGGAGGAAATGAAATTGTTGATGGTTATTTTAAATGTCTGTAATATCAACTGCTGAGTATTGAATGATAATTTGAAATAATCTCATCATTATATCTGTTTGAATGAAACAATCTAAACTGAGTAAGTTTGTGTTTATACAGTAACTATAATTCTTGATACTTACATTATGTCTGTTAGTATCAGTATTAGATATAAAACTGAATCTGTTTATGTATATATCTGATTCTTTTTATTGATGCTTACACTATGCCTGTTAGTATCAGTAATGGAAATATGGATTTAGCTGATGTTTACTTTAATTGTTGATGTTATCAACTGCTGGATGATTGGATAGTATACACCGGTATGGGACGGTGGTATGCTAGGGATGGTTTGGTTTCAAAATACCAAAACCTACCTACTCTGGATTAAGAATTGGATTAACTAAAGGTTAAGTCCTATTAATTGTAGTGTCATGGCAACGACTAGTTGAGCGGCACTACTAGGATTCGAGATGGACTTTAAATATATTGTTATGGTACCTCGATATGAGCTTGAGTCTCAGGATCGACGGTTAGGAAGCGTATATGCATTGGGATGCATAGCTGGATACGATGGTTAGAGATGTACGCTGTTTAGGTATAGGTACATATGCCCACTTTGTATGCGTTTTAGCATGTTACCTCTATTCAGGTTGAGACCGGCCTGTAGTCTAGTGAGAGTCCTTTAGTGTGACTATATATATATTTACGGACTATTAGCTATTGTTGAATTGTTTAGGATGTACATGCGTATCGGACCTCTGTTTGGATTGTAGTAGTATAGAACTTGCACGTGGGCCTGACCCACTTCTATTTTTCAGGTACACAACAGTTCCAGGCTTAGATGTGTTCGTGCTGAGCAGAGGTCTCTATTCACTCTTTCGACGATGTAGGGCTCTCTCTATAGTTTTATTTCTGGATGTTTATTACAGTTGTTCTATGATCGGTTGATCAACTATACATCAACCTTCGCAATAGCACGAATCATTGTAAAATAGGACTATTGGTCGGGTAAGTCGAACCACTGGGACTGCGCTAGTCTTACAGTAACCTTAGTGTCTAGAATCTTTCTAGAATGATGAGGGGGTGTTCATAAAGGTTTTGTTTGTTGTCACTTAAATTAGGAATTCAAAGTGCATAAAACACTAATTTGCAAGGAATTTAGGATGAAATAGAACAATAGAGAAGAGACTAGGGAAGAGACTCCACAACCATCAATAAGCATGCAAGGATATGATTTACTTAGGGGAATAACATATATGTATAACCATAGGATGCAACAACACAAATTATTACATTCCCTTCAAGAAATTTATGAAATCAATAGGTAAGAATAACCTATCAAAGTATTGCATGTTTTGGTTACCTAAACTAGGTTGTAACCTTAGACATACTTACTAAGCATAGAGTTATTAAGCCCTTAATCACATAGTAGAAGCACATGACATAGAATCCAAGAATAATCTATCAAAGGAAGATCCTAAGCAATAGATTATCAAATCTCCTAAATATCATGCCATTAACAACACTTCCATAAACTCCATTCCATTGTCACTATGAAAATGTAGCAATATAATCATAGGAGAAAAACCATTTAAGACAAGATATTTAACTCAAGAAGATTATGTATAGGTATTGAAATTCATTACATCAAATGAAGAGCTCTAGTTCATGGAAGGATTACATACATATATTAACCCCCAAATATAAATCAAAACAAAGCAAAGCTTACAAAATGGAGCTTCATCACCTCCCTAGAGGAGGTTTAGTTACCCATGGTGGCCCTAGATGAAGGAAGAAGCAAGGATTTCCCCTTCATTTTCGAGCTTCCTCCTTGAAGCTTCAAGAACTCCTCATCTTTGCTCTCTTCTCTCTCCTCTATCTTGCAAAAATTCAAGGATAGCAAATGTGTGGCCTTTGGTAGCTTTTTATTCTCCAACAAAACCCTCTCTCTCTCCTCCAAGGAACACCTCCAACCACTTCATAAAGAAGGAAGATGGCATTGAGGAAACCAATGTGCAAGTGGCTGAAATTGAGCCATTTCCGAGTGCAATCTGCCAGATTTTCGAGCACTCGAAAAGTGATCTCGAGCACTCTAACTTAGTGCAATGTGCAACATGCTCCTCTTGCTCAGCGCTGACCTATTTTGGTAAAACTGCTATAACTTTGTGCCCCGAACTCCGAATAATGATCTGTTTGAAGATTTGGAGAGCTGATTCAGTGCTTTAAAAACTTCATGTTTTGATGAAGACCCAATTCTCAAGTCTGTTTAGTCGAAAATGAAGATCAAGGCAGAATTGCATTGCTGCCAGGCAGTTCTGCGCACCTCTGGTAACAAGGCCATAACTCTCTGATCCGAGCTCCGAATGACAAACCGTTTGAAGATTTGGAAAGCTGATTCAGAGCTCTAAATCTTTCATGTTATGAGGGAAGTCCAGTTCTTGAGTTTTCTAGGTCGAAAATGGCGACAAAAGTCAGGATCACTGCTGCCAGAAATTCAGAAATGGCATCCTTTTTGTTCAAAATTCCACAAGGCATCATTTTTGCTTCCTTTTTGCACTTTAACTTGAAAATGCATAAAAACATGCAAATGGAGTTAATCTACATAAAATAATCAATTAATGGACTTTGTTAATGTAATTTAGGGCGCTTAAATATACAGTATTCAGCGCTTATCACACCCCCAAACTTACATTTTGCTAGTCCCTTAGCAAAACCAAAATGCAAAACTCAATGGAATGAAAACATGGGAATGTTATTACAAAAATATTCACCATGGCAAAGATAAACATAAACATAGCTCAAATACAACTTGAAACAGATAAAGAGCTGGAGACGGGATCATTGTGAAGACTACCTTGCATATATGAAGCATTGATACAAAAAAAATGGGAAAAACCATTTCAACATGCATGCATCAACATCATAGTCCATATAAATAATTCAATTGTCATCTCTTAAATGGAAATAACTCAAACTCCAGTGAAAGTGAATTGAATCCTCAAGATGCGACTTTTACTTTCTTTTCCAATTTCAAGGCACAAGTTTTCAAATCAATGATTCCCCTTTACATGAAGTCCCTAAGGCATGATTTTATTTTCAAGACAACTTTTGTTGCCTGTTAACAATTTATTGCAACTCATAAGCGAAACATAGAATGGTTGTGCAATGCTAAAGTCCCTTAAGCTTTCTAACCAACCTCTGTAGCAAGCGTTAGGCCAACAACTCCCAAACCAGACGGCTTTAGGGTGTTAAGTGTAGAGACACTCCAAAGGGCTTAATAGCTCAAGTTGGAAAGGCTACGAACTCTAGCTAACCATGTTTATTACAATTTTTTTTTTGAATGACCGTGCAATGTTTAAGTCCTTTAAGCTTTCTAACCAACCCTTGTAACAAGCGTTAGGCCAATAACTCCCAAACCAGACGGCTTTAGGGTGTTAAGTGTAGAGACACTCCAAAGAGCTTAATAGCTCGAGTTGGAAAGGCTACGAACGTCAACTGGTCATATTTTTTTTTTTTTTGATACTTAAATCATGCCAAAGATATTCATCTATCAGGTTCATCAAATCAGATTAATTAGGCCAAGGTCAAGGTTGATCAAGTTGCATGCCTCACAGTTAAGTTTCCAATGTGCATCTGTGCATTGTGAAGCTTATAAGAGTGTAAATCCAGCAAGAATCTAATTGAAACATTTATACAGACTAATTTGAATCTACATGGTCATTTCAACTCAAATTTTTCTTTATTTTCAAAAATTTCAATTGCTTCTATACACAAGGTATTAAACATATGTTTCATCTCCGACAAGTGTCAAGTTATACTATCATTGCTTAGCAAAAATTATGAAACCAAAAATATGCCAAGAATGCTTTGATGCACCCCCAAACTTAAACTACACAGTGTCCTCAATGTGGGACATGGATGTAAGTTAGAGACAAAAATAACAAAGAGTATAAAAAGGAACAACAATACCCAGAGGGAGGAAACGGCATTTTGATACAAAAACCCCCAAACTTGAATTGGACTGCGCAACCTGGAGAGCATCACGAAGAACAAAAAGAAACAACCACAAACAGTATTAATAGC